AGATGGATACGGGTGCGGGGACTCAGCTTAAATTAATTCAAAAATCTAAAACTAGAGTTATAAAAATATGTCTAAACTATGAGACATTATGAGGAAAACTTACAAGGTATTATGAGAAGGAGAAAATATTGATCAAGAGGAGAATCCATGGAGATAAAAGGAAAATGACTAGCATAGAAATTTCTATATGTAAAGTATTACATTTTCTTCAATTTCACCCTAGCTTTTGTTTTGATTTAAAAAATTATTATATTTGTCCCTAATTTCTTTGTCAATTTTGTATCCAAAATCGGTTCACCAGATCCGATACGGATCCCACACCCACACCCACGTCGTGTTGACACGGGTGTAGCACTAAAAGTGAAGAGTCCGAGCAACTTAGCTAGCCGTACATTTTTCAGCGTGTGAACATGTGTCCTTCATTCTTTTTTATGTAAATAACATTTAGGACATGTTAATTCTTCTGTTTGATCGCACGTCCTATAACTGACACCAAATAGGCCCAAATCGAATCATTGGGGTCTTTGGATATTCTCTCTGTCACTTAATAAAGTGAGAAAAAACTTCTTCTTTGAATCTATTGGTTTGTATTTGGATTTTGAACCCGCAATTAGGGATCTTTCTTGCAATGGCTAAGAACATAAATGGTGTATGGACTAGTCCCTTTGGGGATACCGATGAGCAAAAGGTGTACATACTATAGTCAAAGCAATTACGAGCTATTAAGTATGTACATCAATCTAAGGCCATGTTTTCAAGTTGTGCTCGAGAAAGCCACGCGACAACATTGGACGTGTGTCCAATATTCTCTTTTTTTTTTCTTTCCAAATATATTTGTGTGAGCTTGCTCATATTGCTAGCCCCAAGTTCGTATAAAAGGGCTGGGCTGGGTTGACGACTAGCGTAAAGTTCATCAATTAACTAAACTCTTGATGATCATTGTATAAAATACTTCAAAACGAAATGGATAATGAAGATTCAGTGGACCCGTTTTAGCTTTCGATTGAAGCAATGTTGTACCTTTTAATTTTGCTACAAGTGTCTATAGTACTCCCCTTTTTCAATTTATGCGACAGTGTTTGACTGAGTGCGAAGTTTGTGAAAGAAAGACAAACTTTTGGAACTTGTGATCTTAAACATGCCATGAGATTGTTGTGGCTATAAAATTAAGGGTAAAATAGGAAGTTTAGAGCTGATTGTTTTCAAATATAAAAGGTGTCATTCTTTGGGTATAAAGGAAATAGTGAAATAATTAAAGGTGGGATATTTCCCCATCCAATTTTAGCATATTCTTTTTTCAAACCTAATTTAGCCTATTTTTTTTAATACATATTTTGAAACTTCTTTTCACCTATTAACAAGGTATTAAGAAGATCTGAGTTTGAAACTGATTTGAGACTGATATTCATGTTTATCATTACAGATTTAAACATTGTTAGGTAAATTAAAGTGAAAAATTTAAAACTTCATTGTTGGGGTTTTTAAAAGCTTAAAAACTCATAAATGGATTTTGTGATTGAATTTTTGACAAATTGATAATTGGGGTCCGTTGGGGATATCATTTGGAAGTTGTGGTTAGAATTTGAAGCTATTTGGTGAATAGTTGGGCTATTTGGTGATTTTTTCGTGAGTTGAAGTTCGTAGGAGAAGCAATCCAATTTTTGTATACAATGTTATGAGTGTATAATATTGTATATTAGGTGTATATACACTGTTGCCAAAAAATAATGGGATATATGGTTGTAAACTTAAAAACATGGTTACGTAGGTGCAATGCAGTGTGTTGGGCTGTACTTTTGTGCAAATCTTTTGTAAATAGTGCCACCAAAAACGGAACATAAGGAGTAACGATTTCAAAAAAAAAAGAGGAACAGATGGAGTAATAGATAATCCAGTGTTTCTTTTTTTGATTTGCACCGGGTGTCCGAGTCTCTTTGAGCCCCGACTAATCCCGGGGGTGCACAGGCCCTCGGCAAGGAGTTTCCCGCAAGTGCACCACGGTTAATTTAGGTTTTACCCAATCCGATGGCCCTCAGAAATTGTTTGCACCCAGTGGGTTTCGAACTTGAGACCTTGAAAGGGAGCAAATTCCAAAGCTCAAGTCAATTGCCACCAGGCCAACCCCTGAGGGTAGATAATCCAGTGTTTTTAAAAGCGAAAAGTGCAAAAAAGCGACAAAGTTCATAAGACTTGAAGTGAAAAGCAAGATGCGTAGCGCGCGCTTCTTTGAAATGAAGTGCACAGTTTACACAAATAAACAATATCAAATATATTAGAATTTAGTAATATAATAATCAAACTGTAATTTAAATAACTAATTTCACTATCTATCATACAATAATGCCGATACAAATAGAACTCCTTAAAGTTGAGATTTAAAGAACCTAACTCTTCTGACCTTATCAAAAAAATAGAACCTAACTCTTCTGTTGGATCACCTTGCGTGTCATTGTTCGAATCACACACTTATCTAAAGTGATAGTCGATAACCCCTTGCTTCGCATCACTTCATTACTTTAGTAGACAAACCGATGGCTAATAACACTGGATAGGTCCAAATAGAGATTCTAGAAAAAGAAACTTCTAGACATTTGCATAATAAATAACACTTAGACTAAAGATAAATCCTTAGTTTTCCTGCTCTCTAGTATCTAACATAAAAGTCCAGAACCTCTCTTTATCTTGGTAATAACTTATTCACTTCACCAACTAGAAAGTTGTGCTTTGGGTGTTTCTTAAAAATGTATTGTTATAACACCAAATTCGATATTGAGGGGTTGCATATGTGCACTTACCTTCCCTCCGTTCAACTCTCCTAGCTAGGAGAGACTGGTAGATGTGATGACTACACAATGATCTCAAAGTGTTTCGATGTATATCAAGCATAGTAAGTGACATGTCATATAGATTAGGTAGTTATAAAGGTATTACAACAACTACTCCTGCGCCTCAGTCCCAAGAAAATTTGAGATCGGTGATATGAATCCTCACATCTTTCTTTAAGCTCTACTCATATCATCATCATGCCAAAATAGAATAAGAGTGTTAGTGAAAATTAGTTTTATATATAGAAATAATAGTAATAATAAAAAGAAAAATAGTACTCCCTCCGTTTCAATTTAGATGAGGTACTTTGACTCGACACGGAGTTTAAGGAAAAAAAGAAGACTTTTGAAACTTGTGGTCTTAAAAGCTTAAAGGGTAAAAGTTTTGTGGGGACATGACATTTGTGTGGTTATAAAAGTTTCTTATTAAGGGTAAAATGGGTAAAATGAAGAGTTTAAAGTTGAATTATTTTCAATTGTAGAAATGTGTCATTCTTTTTGGAACGAACTAATAAGGAAAGTGTGTCATCTAAATTGAAACAGAGGGAGTAATAATTTTGAAGTTCTCTGACAAATTTAAGTCCTATTCCTAACTAGTAAGTATAACCTATATGAATCTTTTTCTTCCAATGTGCCCTATCTTTAGCAAAGGCTACATTAATTCCAAAATCCAAAGATTTATGTCTTTCGAGACAACTTTTTCCCATGTGATTTTAGGTATATTTCATTCCCTTTCAACACATTCATTTACCATAGTTTACACCTCCGGACTGATGCATCTGTAAGGCGACACAAGACATGATCAAACCATTTCAAGTGACCTTCTCTCATTTTATCCTCAATGCGTGCTACTTGCACCTTCTGAGAATGTGGTCTTTTTTTTATCTCATCTAATCTTGTTTGACCGCACATCCATCGTAGCATTCGTATATTTGCAACACTCATCTTGTGGATATGTTGGACTTTAGTAGCCCAACATTCTTTACCATATAACATTGTCGGTCTTATAGCTGTTAGCTAGAATTTACCTTTCACGTAGGTAGGCATCCTTCTATCACATATCACTCCAGTAGCACTTCTCCGTTTCAACCATCTAGTTTTAATCCTTTGGGTAACATCTTCATCTGTGATTTTATTCCCTTGAAATAACGAGCCTAAATGTGTAAATTATTTGCATTTAAGGGTATTAATTTGGAAAAATGTTATAGGCTTCAAAGTTGAATTACAGTGGCCACCTTGCTTTATTATACTTGTTAATAGATTTACACTTCGGTGTCAAACATGTGGAGGGGTTTTTTTAACTGCAAAAAGTGATGATGAGTAGAATTTCTCACAGTGAAGTTTGACTGTTGCAGGTTAGAGTTGAAAATCCTGCAGGCCATATATCTTCAGATCTAGAAGCTAAGCAAGTTTTGTCTACAGCTTCAAAGAATGCAAGGTCATCCTCTCCTTATAGAGTGGGGCCCGCGAGGTCATTGTCACCCACCCTTGATGAGTTTGCAGTGGATAATTCTGCCATAGGACTCAGAGAAGGGGCCTCACCATCTCATTCTGCACTTGATTATGGGCTTAACAGAGTAAGAGGTAGAGATGATGAGAGGAATGAGTGGCAGAGAATTTTGCCTGATGATGCCAATCAGCAACCAGACATTCCTGTTAAATATGGTCTGAACAAGGATTNTATGGTCTGAACAGGGATTTTGATCTTCAAGGACCTAGAGCTTTGATTGATGCTTATGGAATTGATGAAAGGGAAAAATTAGTCAATCAGAGGCAACGAAAGATGGGGAATGCTGCTATGAATAGCTTAGGCGAAAGGGTAGCTGTAAAGACGTGGCAAAATACTGAAGAGGAAGAATTCAATTGGGAAGATATGAGTCCAACTTTAGCAGATCAGAGTCCTTTTAATGATTTGTCAACATCTGTTCGTCATCCTCAGGGTATTAGGACGAGACCTGGCTTAGATTCACAACATGTTGTGCCTTTAGTGTCTGATCCTAGAAGGAGCTGGTCTAATCGAGGACAATATTCGTCAGTTCATGATTCTTCCTTGGATGATGTTCACTCGGTTAGTATTGATGTCCTGTCGCATGCAGTTATCTTTTCCGTTTTCTTTTTTTGCTTGTGGATGCTCTTCAAATGTTGTTAATGTCTCTGATATAAGAGCAATGAAAATTAGCCTTAACAGCATTTCTGGTTATCTTATCTTCAGCCCATTGTTCAGATTGGAATTCTTTTTCTGCTTTCTCATTGGCTTAAACAAACCTAATTGGAGCCTAGTGGCTTTATTTGGTCTATTTATCATCTAACTGAGTTATTTCACAGTCGTGGATTGGACCTGTAATTCTAACATTTGTTTTCCTGGTCAAGATAGCATCATAATACACCATAAAATAGCATCATAATACACCATAAGTAAATTCATTTGCTCCTTTGTCTTGTAAGGGTATGGTTTTGTTTCCTCGCGGAAAAGAATGCTTTTTTTCATATTGAAATTATGTCAGTTCTTTTGGCAGTCTGGTCGAGGGGCGAGAAATAAAATTACTGGATATTGCGATGAGACATCTCTGATTTCAGGTTCGCCTTATCTTCAAAAACTTCCAGAAAATGTGCCACTGTTGCCTCAAAGACATTTAAAGGTTGAAGGAAGTGGAATAGTGACTGGTGAACCAAAGCATCCTTTGATTAGCAATTTGGTTGCCGATGGACATACTTGGAGGCCGCCATATATTCCGCCAAAAATGAATCCTACTTTTGAGTCTTCAGTTCAGGATATTCGGGCTGTTACTGGACGGGCCCCGATTGTACCATGGCCTCCCACAGATGTGCATAATCCCCAATCTTTGACTTCAAAACCTTTTGTTCTGCCTCATCAACATATCAGAAGTCCCTTTGAAGTAAAGAATGGTAGCAATTCAGTTGCCAATCATAATCTGGACAAGCCAGTTCTTCCTGGGCAACAGATTGATAATTCGAAGAGCAACTCATATATCAAGTTTCCGCAATTTCCTAGTCAACATCCTGCATCATTTTCTGCAAGTCTTCAAAACCCTGAACAAGTGGCTTCAGCAGAATCTCAGCTATTGTTTTCTCAGCGTATGCATCAGACTACGGTTCCAAGTGCCTCACTTCCAGCCTCGAACCATTTTCTATTACCGCCAATTTATGGATACAATCCACAGGGTCCTGGTTCTTCTGTAGGTACTCTGTTGCCCCTGCCAGTTTCAGGTCCGCAGGTGTCTCTGCCATTGGTTAATATCCCAAATACATCTTCACAATTCTCCTCAGGGGCCTTACCACCTTTGCCCAGAGGCCCACTTCCAATGTCATCTCAATTCACGCCAACATCCCAAAATCTAGGTCAGGTTACTCCTAACCCTCCGGCAGGGGGCTTTTCAAGCTTGATTAGCTCACTCATGGCCCAAGGTTTGATTTCGTTGACAAATGAAGCTCCCCCACAGGTACTGGATATTTATTCTATGTCAAGCTTTCTCTACTGTCAATTTTCTCCTGAAGATTTTTCTCAGCCATGTGATTCAATTTTTAGGATTCTGTGGGCCTTGATTTTAATCCGGATCTCCTTAAGGTTCGTCATGATTCTGCGGTAACTGCTTTATATGCTGATCTTCCAAGACAGTGCACAACTTGTGGCCTACGGTTTAAATGCCAAGAGGCTCACAGCAGTCACATGGATTGGCATGTAACTAAGAACCGAGTATCAAAAAATCGCAAGCAGAAGTCTTCTCGTAAGTGGTTTGTGAGTGTCAATATGTGGTTTAGTGGTACGGAGGCTTTGGGATCTGATGCAGCTCCTGGATTTCTACCCGCTGAGCAAGTTGTGGAAAAGAAGGATGATGAAGAATTGGCCGTGCCTGCTGATGATGAGCAAAATGTTTGTGCACTGTGTGGAGAGCCTTTTGATGATTTTTACAGTGACGAGACTGAAGAATGGATGTATAAGGGGGCTGTCTATATGAATGCACCAAGTGGGTCAACTGCTGGAATGGAAAAGTCTCAGTTGGGTCCAATTATTCATGCAAAATGCAGGTCTGAATCTAGTGCAACTCCACATGAGGACTCCAGAAGAGTGGATGAGGTGGGCTCCCCTCTTCCCCCCCCTCTCTGTTT